TTTAGTTTAGATTTTTACAATAAAGATGTATTAAAAATATCTGCACTTTTATTATTTGCAGATATGCACAAGGTTCATGTTAAAATTGCAAAACATCCCACTGTGCTGTAATCTTTGAAACTGCTTTTACAATAAGACTTGAAAACAATTAGATTAAATTTTGTCCTTGAATTTTAAAGATTTGTCTTTCATTAAATTAAAACATACATGTATTACTTATTAATCTAAAAAAGTTAAGTCTGGTCCTCTGGACATTCAAAAAACAAAACTAACAAAAAACATTTAGTTTATCTATTATGAACTGTATTGTTTGTTTTGTGAATGTCCAGAGGACCAGACTTAACTTTTTAGATTTTTCTGCCTGGATTATTGAGCAGCATCAGGATATTAATTAATAAATAGTCAGTTGGTCTGTGAACACCATGGGGTCCTAGAAGAGTTGAAGAGGAGGATGTTGATGTCTGTGCCTCCCTGGTGAAGATGCTGCTCCCACAACCCTGAAGCAGAAGAGGATGGATGGATGGACGGATGGATGGACGGATGGATGGATGGATGGATGGATGGATGGATGGATGGATGGATGGATGGATGGATGGATGGATGGATGGATGGATGGATGGATGGATGGATGGATGGATGATGGTGAAGGAGGAGACCATCAAACAGCAGGAGTGGTCAGTTCAGGTGAACTCCTGCCTGTTTGCTTCAGATCAGCTGTTCAAATCTCTGCAGGTTCAAATAAAAGGTGCACCAGGACTTTCAGCTGAATCTCTCGGGCCACAGTTGTACGGACGATAAACGATAACTGCTAAAAGATAACTGATGATTGATAATCGATAACTGTCCTTTCTGAATTTTTGACTGTTTTTGTCTCACTTCATCCTAGAACAAAACATTTATAACATAATAACAGTTGAGCAGATTCTAGTAATCTTTTCTTAGGATCCATTAAAGATCAAATGCAATTGGAAATTCTTCTCAATTCCAGAATGAATTTAAACAAACACTATATGAACTTAACATTGTAAAATTTGTTTAGGAAATTTAATGTTCAAGGACACCACTTAAGAAAAAAATTGTTTAATATGAAAAGTAAGAAGTGAAAAATGTACAAAAATAAAAACTACTGCGTCCAACTAATGATTGTGTATCTGTGTGTCCCTTGTCTCACGGGCTTCATCCAGAAGAAGACACAAGTGTTGTTCCTGCTGTGTCCGCTTCAGTTCTTCATGTTCATTCAGTGATGGAATAAGACTTTTCTTTACTGGACTCTTTTCTCTTTCTCTTCACTAGAAAGAAGAAACAGGTGGTTAATTCAAGCTACATACTGTTTTTGAATAAATGCATGAAACAAAGAAAGGTGCAGCTAACAGCTATAATAGATATATTAATAATAATAAACTGATCAAATAAGAAAATGAAAAATAAATTGATTTAAAAATGAAAATGATAATAATGGATATATGAATCAGAAAGTATTATACAGATGCAGATATTCTTTGTCATTCGCACCACATGTGGTCCATGTGGTGGATCAAAATTATGTTCACAGGGTCCCAGTTACATCCAACAATAAAATATAAAAGAAAAACAGTAATAAGATCTAAGATATGAACTAATAAAAACATCAACTAAAAATATGATAAGCTCTAATAGCATAAAAACATTAAACACAATACGCAGAACAGCAGCACGGACATGAGTCTGTGTGAACTGATGAGCACGAATGAACACAGCAACATGAAACAGATCAGCAGCAACATGAAACAGATCAGCAGCAACATGAAACTGATCAGCAGCAACATGAAACACATCAGCAGCTACATGATGTGATTCTTCACAGTGTTATATATTCATGAGGCTGCACAAACTCAAGTTCATGTTGCTGTTTGACGTATTGTTTTGATTGTTTACTGCTATTAGTGCTTAGTGTTTTATTAGTAGATGTTTTTTAGTTGATATTTTTCTTAGTTCATATCTTAGATCTTATTACTGTTTTTATTTTACGTTTTGTTGTCTGTAACTGGGACCCTGTGTACATAATTTCATCCCAATTCAGTATTTATTCAACATTTTAGTTTTTTACTTTAAAAATAAAATAAATCAAGTCCTTATTGGTACAAGTAAAGTGATGTGGAACAGTTGCATCTGTTCTTACCGAGCACAGAAGCTGCAGCGTCGTGCTGCTCTGTGAGGTGCAGCTGGGCTGTGATGGAGCTCTGTCAGGTGTAGACTCCTCTGATGGAGCAGGAGCAGGAGCCGGGAGGCTTGGAGGGTTTAATGTGGAGTTTAGAGATGAACCGTCACGCGCTGAAAGACGTTCTGGATAAAATACAGTGAGAAACGGGACCGGAGGACAGTTAGCATTTATGCAAATTAGCTTAGCATCGTAGCACCGACGTTGTTCTATTATGGCGTCAGCCTCTTTTGTTAGTTAAAAATATGTTCAGAACCGATGGGATGAGTAATTTAAAATATGTTTAAAGTTAGAAAACACTCACCATCTTCTATAAATGGTTCAAGTAGAGCAGTAGTCGTGTCCAAACCACCCTCCAATCCTCCATCTAGCTCGCTTTGACTTTTTTCGTCGGCCACCAAGCACAACAACACCTGCACTTCTGCATTTGACCACGGCTTTGATATTATTGTTGTTGTATAGCTTCAAAATACTAAAATATACGCTCCTCGAGTTATCGCTAATGGCAAGCGGTAGAGAAAAAAATGGTGGATCGGGTTGTTTGGAAAGACTCCACAGACTCCTCCCCCCCGACCAATCAGTGACCGACAGTGTTTCTGACGTCACGGCGCGGCTCGCTCGGAACCCTTGAGAAGCCGGGCCAGAATTTAGCGAGACGAGCCGGTTTCTGGAACAGTGGAAATACCTCCAACGCGCTTCAACCCGGAAATATCCGACCCGCGCCGTGACGGTGGAAAAGGGGCATTAGGCTGCTACCCCCGTGACCTGACCCCGGATAAGCGGAAGAACATGGATGGATGGATTTCATAAATTCTCTGTCGCACCTAAAGCAAAAGAGATTAATTTCAGAATTATTAACAGAATATATCCCTCTGCTGATTTTCAACGCTTTGGCTTTGAACGTACTAACTGTTCATTTTGTATTGAACTTGCTGACAACACATTTTTTATGATTTCATATATACTAATGCCTTTTGGGATGATTTACATCACTGCTCATCTAAATTAATTCCAGATTCCAGAATTGAAAATTGAAAATGTCTTGTATGGTTTTATCGCAACAAACTCTGTACATGATCTGATGATTAAAACTATTTTCATTCTAGGAAAGTTTTTTATTCACAAGAATAGATTTCTTAAAGCCAGACCAAACTTTGTTGCCGTTCACAGAGAACTGAGCCTCTTCTTCTCATCTCTGTGTTTTAGAATTGCGCCGCTCAAGGTGGCTGCATGTTGGAGCAGCTCTGTTACTTTCATTCTGAGATTAATTCTTTTGGAAACTTTAATTCCTCTTTTTCTTGATGTAAATCACATTTTTTGGATGATCGTTTCCTCTGGTATCAGATGCTGCAGCTGGAAGGATTTTTACTGATACTTTTTAAGTTTTGGACATTTGTTGTGATGCGTAACCATGGCAACAATGAAGTTTTCTACAACCAGCAGCTGATTAACATCTCAAAAGCTCAAATAATATCTCAACTACAGCACCAAATATCAAGTGAGTCGAAAAGGATGTTCTGTGGATGCATTCTCATCTACCTGCCAGCTGTGCTCGGGTGCCTGACCACTGAGATCCTGGAACTAGCAGGAAACACGGCTCACGACAGAGGAAGGACAGGATCGTCCCTCAGCACCTACAGTTGTCTGTCCGCAGCTACGAGGAGCTCGGCAGACTGCTGGGAGGAGTGGCCATCGCTCTGGGAGGAGTTCTGCCCAGAATTCGGGCAGTCCTACAGACTGGGGGAACCGAGAGGCCAGCCGAGTCTGGGTGGACGGATTGGACGGCATCTGCAGCCAGTTTCTTAGGATACATTGTGGGATGGACCTTTACAAGAGATCCTTCCTGTCTACAGCATCAGCATCTATAACATCTCTTAATGAAATGAGGATAACGAGTTACAACAACAAATAATTTCCCTTTGGGATTAATAAAGTATTTTTGAATTTGAATTTGAATTTTGAAACACATGAGAAGAGAGCCTGCTGTGGATCTCTACACAATGCTGAAGGACCTTAATCTCATGGAAAACCCTGAACTCTAAACTCATGAACACTGAACGAACTCCATTGTCTGATTCTATTTTTTTATTTTTGTTTAATTTGTCTCCTTTTTAGCCTTTATTTTTCTTTCTTCTATGTTTGAAGTTGTATTTGTACTAATGACAAAAAAAAAAAAAAAGAAAACCTTCCTCCTCTTCCTCACATCTTGTTCTTTGGGAAACCTTCAAAATGAAAACAGGAGATTTGTGTCTACACAAAAACATTGTACAGAGGAGGTCAATCTTATTTTCTACTTCCTATATTCTCCCTAGTTTAATTTTTTTATTTCCTAGAATTTAAACAAAACTCCAATTATGATACACATTTCTTGATAATGAACCAAAGCTGCTGAAACAGTGAGTATGCTTGTTAGCAAAATATTCCTGTCATCAGATCTCAGTCAGCTTCATTGCAGCTGAACACCGTGTTACACTGAACATCACATCAGCTGGTGGACGTAAATACAGTACAGTAATATTATATTCACAAAATACTAACAATAATATGTTCATCCTACTGTGAAAAGTTATCCCCCGAGACCTGACGTCAACAGTCCGTCGATCTGAACAGAAATAAGCTGCGAAGTGCTGACACATCTTCTGATTTAACTAAATAAGGACGACCGTTTCAAGATGGCGGCCGAAAATCCTGCGCCGCAGCAGCCAATGAGGGATCTAGTGTTTATATCTATGGATGGGTAAAGGAAATAGCGCCCCCTTCATTTCCGGAGTTCCATCTCCAAATATGGTATGGGACTGACATTGTGCACGCCCCTTTCTGTTTGCTGCTCGAGGTATACTGGGATTTTGTTGGATTGTTGCGTTTTGCCACAAAGTGTTAAATGAACTTGTACTGACGTTCATGTTCAAACAGTAAATATTACAATATATTGATTGGGCGGGTTTTTGTGTGATGTAGCGGATTAACAGATTTTTGAACTGGAAAACCTGGACTCTATCTGGCAACACCGTGGTCAGAAGAAGAAGAAGAAGAGCGAGATAGTGATGAGGAATGAACTCCCGGGATAATATGGAGACAGGAGAGACAGAAAGCCACTTGGAGCGGCTCACTGCTCCAGTTCCAGAGGAAGCCTGGTGTAAGGAGAAGCTGTCGGGGGTCGTCAGAAGCGTCCACCGGAAACTGCGCAGGAAATACAGAGAAGGTTAGAAACACGAGCACCGGAGCGGAGCTAGCAGCAGCTAACGTCACGTGCTCCTGCTCCAAGAAGTTCATGTTGTCTGGCTGCTGCTAGAACAGGACGAGCAGCAGGCCTTACTGGTATCAAACTGGTCCCGTTCTGTCTTTATAATAACGTGGTTGTGTTTTCTGATGAACACACTAAATAACCTGCCAGATGATGGTGCGGTCACTGATGAACACACTAAATAACCTGCCAGATGATGGTGCGGTCACTGATGAACACACTAAATAACCTGCCAGATGATGGTGCGTGTGGAGCAAACCGTTTCATAATCACATTCATCCCAGTTTGATTTCTGCAGCTTCGTCTCATTCAGTCAAGGACTCCTTTACAGAACTCGAATGTCCCGTGGCTTGAACTGGGTTTAGATTTCAGATGGAATGAGACAAAGTGGATAACTTCTGCATTTCATTCAGATAAATAGTTTACAGACAGACCCAGCTTCACTCACAAGCACAGTTCTTGGTTTAGTTCAGGATTAATACGATATTTTAAAACATATGCATACTCATTTTTTTAGGTTTTGATCCATTTACCCTGTTCAAGGTCAAGAATCTTTATTTTCCCTTGTCCTGTCCGGCATTGTGACACAGAATTATTGTCCGAGTGCTATATCCCCGACCGCCGCCATGCCCCACCATTGACCACACAAGCACAGGCGACCCTCCGCCAGAACCCGGCAGCCACCCCAGCCAAAGGGCCGGCCACTGCAACCATTAACCCTGATCAAAAGATCCAAACAACACAGGCAGAACCAGAGCACCAGCCCCACCCCCAATCGCCCCCCAAGTCCCAACACCCACCCACAGCCCAGACCCCAACCAGGCAGCCTACCCCCACCCCCCCCCCCGCCCCCGACCCCAAATGTCAAACAGAGAACGAGGGTTTAAGGAAAAACAGGAAGAGTGAGAATGATTACACATCCCACCCCCTATATGCCACCATGTGCCCACTCCAGACCCTATATACGCACGTGTCATGAGAATGTTATATGCGAGTGTCTAGGTTGTTTGATAAAATTGGGGCCCAGGTCTCCACGAACCACAGAGATGGAGGATCCTCCCCGCTGCTCATTAGTGCACCTGAACCCCAAGGCCCTGCTTGAGTGTTGCTGTGATGGAGTGGGCAGAGGAAGACGTCGGGGTGGGGAGGAACAACTGAGGTGGCAATGCCCTCCCATGGGGCCAGCTCCCCCACTGACCCCAATAGGCACCCCCATTCTCCGAGATCCACCAGGGGTGGGAGGCTCCAATGCATCCATCCAGGAGCAGGAGGCAGCCGCACCACCAGGGAACCAGGCCACGGACCGGCACATAGCCCCGAGGACCGATCAGAACCTGGGCCAGTGACCCAACCCCCAACTCCGAGATCGTCCAGACCCCCAACCCGATCCCCAGCTCAACACCCAGTCCCCCAACCAAAGAAACCACCAAACTCCAGCAGCGACAATCAGCCAGAAGTGCCTGAACACCGCACCACGACGACTGAGAGCACACCCCGGCTTTAGCACTTTGAGATTTTTGTTAATGAAAAGTGCGTTACAAATTAAATTCATTATTATTATTATTATTACCCCCACCCCCACAAAAGGACCGACCAGTCCACCACAGCAACACACACAATGAGAGTACCCCACGCAACGGAGGGCACATGCCTAACACGGCCAAACACCCCTGGGCCAGCAGTGCAGAGCCACCTGAGCAAAAGCCCCCCCACCCACAGCCCCCCACAGCCCAGACCCCCAGCCAAGCACCAGATCACAGCCAGGCAGGAAGACACTCAGACTGAATCCACCTGTCCCCTCCCATGCCCCCCCTCCCCCCTCCCCATGGCAGAGGCCCCAAAGCCCACCAGCGCACCAAGGGCCCACAGGCCCGGCCCGGGCACTGGCGCATGCCCCGACCCAAGACCCCAACAACATACCCGCCAAGACCCGAGACCCCCGGGTCAAGCCGGGACCCCAGCCCGGAAACGACACTCCCCCAGAACCCCGAACCCGCGTCCACCCCAAACCCACCCAGGAGCAGCCAGGCCACCATGCCAGTAACCTGCGCCCGCCAGTACAGACCGCCCAGAAGCCTGCATGCAGCCAGCAGAGGTCAACGCTCAGAACCACCAAAGCCACCTCCCCAGTTAAGTGCCATTGCCCTGGGCCCACGCCCCCCCATGCCCCCAGCCCCGATACCCCCCCACATCAACAATGATGCCCCACGGGACAAAATCAAAGGGGTTTACTCACCTCCACTACGGGTTGGAGCCAATCAAAGAAGCCCAGAGAGATTGTTCTGATGTGGAGGTACAGGCTGTCTCAAGACTGATGTAATCCAACAAAAGGTCTTTATACTGTTTAATACTAAGAGTATTTTTATTTTTCAATTCATGAGTATAGTTTTTCTTGCTATACATAAAGCAGTAAAAATCATGTGAATTGACTTTGTCTCCAAGGTGACATCATCTAAGTGGCCCAATAAGCAAACTGACGGAGAGAGTGGAATATTACATCTCAGACACTGTCCATTCTTCGAAATAAACATACAGAAATTACGTGGAACCAAAAAAAAAGAATCTTTATTATCCCCAAGGGTAATTTAGTTTCACAGTCAGTAGGCACACAAAACATGCAGACTACACAAATCATGCAGACTACACAAAACATGCAGACTACACAAAACATGCAGACTACACAAAACATGCAGACTACACAAA